AACAGGGGGCTAGCCCCATGATGAACCCACTCCTGTCCCTCCCTCCTCCTAGATGGCCAGGACCCGCTGTGCCTTGGCTGCCCAAACCAGTTCCTCAACACTGTGTACACCTATGCTTTCTAGAATTCTATCCCCATCTCCTTCCTCTCCTCAAATGTTCTAGCCCAAGAGTAGTCATAAACTAAAACCACTTACTCTACCCCACACTATTGTAGGCAGCTGAAATAGATAGAAATATTATAGGCAGGCAGACAGCACCAGGCCCTCTAAGAGACAGGGTGACTTTGCAACTTTAGAAGAGACAGACATTCCCAGCTGTGGGCCAGACCTCAAGACAGAAGAGTAAACAAATGTAGCCACATACTTCCCTAGGAATGGGCATCAGTGATTGATATTCTAAATAAGTATCAATCACCTTGAAAGAGTCCAAAAGAGTCACTAACCCAACCCCCAACAGGAAGAGACCCTGTTCCATATTTGTGCCGGCTTGCTACATGACTTGCTTCCCCATTTGATTCCGATTTAATCAATTTTACCTGAGCAACGATGCTTATAATCTCACTGGTTGACCATAGTTTTGTCCCACCCCGTGCCCACCTAAGCAAATTCCGGTGTTCTCCACCACCTTAGACCTGCCTCATTGTATGGTTTTCCTCTATAAAAGTCCCTGGAAGAGACAGCATTCCCAGGGACCACCTGCTGTGGCGGAGGGGCTCCTGTCCCTCTCTCAGACAGGAGCTTTCTTTCCCCCCATCAGATAACCTCCGTTTGTTCCTAAAATTCATTCTTTGGTTTTAGAAAACAAGAACTCAGTCCAGGTACCTTTCAGGTAGGGAGTTTCATTTTTTCCCTGTATCATTTGGAGGTCATCCACCAAGATCATTTTTCTCTGTGTCAATACCACCACGAATCACATTAGAAATCTGGGTCATCCATTCTGCCTCTTCCACAGGGAAGAATACCACTGCTCCAAGACACTTCAGTTCCACCCTTTCCCCATTCCCATCTGTTCCACTGTCTGAGGACAGCAGACTGCAGGCACAAGTACCAGGTCTAGACACACGCAGGTAGGCTTATGCAATACCTCAATGGACAAATGGGAATGAAGGGACAGGCAGGATGTTTCTGTCTCGCTTACTCATCACATGTTGCTGGGACAAAATACCCAACACCCAAAATGAAGGGAGGAAAGGTTTATTTAGCTCACAGTTACTGGATATTTCAGTCCATAGTCAGCTGGCTCCAAAGCAGAGTGCCACATGGCAGAGAGCAGCAGTTCCTGGTGGTGGACAGCAGCAAAACAGCAAGAACAAAAGGGAGGAGTAACAGCAACAATGGCCACAGAGAACAAATCTGTCTCTCTTATATTGTCTTCAGGCTCTCTGCCCAGGATGGATGTAACATTCAGACTCATAATCCCAGCAGTACTCAGACCCATAATCCCAAATGGATCATGAATTAATCACAAGCTCTAGAAGTCTGCCCCATGACTTCATGAGGCTTGGGGTGGGGGAACTACACACAAACCATAACAATTGCCAACTGATCTAAGTCAGTGTGGCCATTCAGTAATATCCAGTTTTCTTGATGAACTGAGAGACTGTCTTCATTTTATTTGATATGCAAAGGAAGCACTGTTTCAGGCAAGCACTTATTCTACTGAGCCATCTCTCCTGCCCGATAAGCACTGTTTCACACACAACCAAATATGTAGCAAGTATCAGGTAAGAGACACAAAGAACAGGCATACAACTGGGGAGATGAACATCACACAGCCAGCAGGTGGCCAAGACAACTCTGCAGACAAAAGGCGAGAAGTTGCAAGGGCTGTGATCTGCTCAGTTCTACCAGCTGCTTTAGCTACTCCCTACTTGGGAGTGTCGATCCCAGTAAGTTTCATCTTCTAATAAACCACCTACAGGGCATAGTTGAAAGTGTGTATAGTTTATACTGAAGACTTTGTTAAAATAATTAACTCCAGTCACAATAACATCTGTATTCAAGACCAAATGGAGAAGGAAGGGCCAGGAAATTAGTGAGGTCTTCTTGACCAGGTCTTCTTCAGCATCAATCTCCTTACAACAGGAAGAGGAGAGTCAAGATCCCTTGATGTATTCTCCAAACACAGAAATTGGATCTAATGGAAGATGTGTTTTCATTTTTCCTAGAATCCCTGGTACTGCAATTTTTGTCTGCCCCACCAGAGAGCAACCTTTCTACATTTATGCATCATGCTTAGCAAACAGTCGTCTCATCTCCACATATATGTTCGACTCGGAGTCTTAGGAGAACCAACTCTCGAGGTTTCCAGGACTGTCTCAGTTACTCTTCTTTCCTTGCTGGGACAAATACCCAACACCCAAAATGAAGAAAGGAAAGGTTTATTCAGCTCACAGTTACTGGAGGTTTCAGTCCATACTCAGCTGGCTTCAAGGCAGAGTGGTACATGGCAGAGGGCAGCAACTCATAGAGGCAAAAAGCAACAAAACAGCAGGAGCAAAAGGGGGGAGTAGCAGCAACAATGGCAACAGAGAAGAAGTCTGTCTCCCTTCAGTGACATTCAGGCTATATGCCCCAAGCTGGGTGTAGTACTCACACCTTTAATCCCAGCAGCACTAACACCCATAATCCCAGCATTGATCATGAATTAATCTCAAACTCTAGAAGTCCCTGCCCATGACTGCATGAGGCTTTGGGGGGACACCTAGACATAAACCATAACAATGACCCAAAGAAATTTCTCAGCCTTCATGAAAGTGTTCCCACTTTCCAGCTCTAAAGATGGATAACTTTGAAAAACCAGAGAGATATCTCACTAGAAAAAGGCTCTAGGATGTAGATAGGGACATACTTTGACCTCTGATTAGGAAGGTGAGCCCTCCTTTCCCCACCTCCACCTGCAGCTATCAGTCCAAAGTATCCTCACTTGGGTTCTACAACTGCAGAACTTTTACGGGGGTGAAAGAACTATAAGAAGTGGCCTTTGGCTCCAAGGTCCTGTCCTGACATTGTCTAGAGAGAGTGTGAACTTCGTGTCAGGGCAATTCAGGGGCAAGACCGAGGCTCCTGACCCAGGCTAAGATAGGAAGCTTGAGCATTTCCCCAGCTCTGTTCCATTAGGGTACAAATTCCCCACTGGGATCAGTGGGCTATGATAGATGGCACATCAGATTAATGAAATGTATCCTCTCCTTTTCTTATATTCTTTTTTTTTTTTGCACTGTATCTTCTTCAAAATAGTTACTCAAGGGCCGGGGAGATAGCTCAGCAGCATAAGCATCTGTCTGGAAAGCGCAAGGTCAAGTTTGATCCCTGGTACCAAAAAAAAAAAAAAAAACTAAACTAAATTACCAGCTAGCCAGATAGCTCAGCGGATTAAAGCACCTGCTTAGGCACTGCGCAGGGATCAGGTTCGATCTCCAGTGTGCAGTGCTGGCCCCACCCCTGGGGTGCGCTGAGATGGCAATAGATATTGGGCATGGTGGCACACGCCTGTAACCCCAGTGTTTGGGAGGCTGAAAACAGGAGGATCACCATGAGTCCGATCTATGTAGTAAAACCCTGTAGACCCTGTACTAACTACATTTAAAAAAAAAAAAAAAGGTACTCAGAGTATAAGACATAAAATAAAAAGATTTTCTCAAAAACAAAACCCAAAAAACAAAATCCACAGATAATAACAAAAAGCTTTCTTTTCAATAATCTGTTCCATGAACTACTTGGCCATGCTGCACAGGCCAGTAACAACTACTTTACAGAAGAATCTAAACTAAATGTAAGTGATTAACGTGGAAGATATCTGCTCCTTTCATTCTTGGTCTCTTCACTAACTTTCCTGTACACTCTCCATCCTAGCTTCCCTCCCCGCCCCACCAACCAGGAACTCAGGCCCTTGCGCTTGCCAGGCAAGCGCTTATTCTACTGAGCTATCTCCCCAGCCCCTCCATCCTAGCTTGATTAAGTTTTGTTTTCTGATCTACAGCCTTGGTGGCCTATAAAACTTGGGCATGGATCACTGTTTTATCCCCACGATCTGTCTCAACATTCGGAGACAACAACATGATACAGACTTCTACAGCAAGGTCTTCCCCAGCCTTGGTCCTCACCTGTGTTTCTAATTAAACAAGGTCATATTCAGGAATTAAGGTCTCTTAGGCCTATCATAGAAATACAGACAAGTCTTTCAATGTTCTCATTATCAGAAACCTTGAAGTGCTAGAAACCATCTTCTAAACTTATGTGTTTATTATTTTAATCACTAAATAGATACTAATTGTACCAAGCACTATGTGTAAGGCAGTGTTGGGACAATTGATTTGTTATAAAATCAAGATACTTCTATTTAAATATGATGTGTGCATCATATGTATGCCTATATATATATATGAGTTCTTTTTATTTGTGTTTGATGATGTGAGGGATTAAACCTAGGATTTCACACTAAACTATATCCCTAGCCTTTTTTTAATTTTTTTATTTTGAGATAGGGTTTCACTAAGTTACTCTTGTTACTCAAGTCTGGTTTACTCACTCTTGCAGTCCTCCTGCCTCAGCCTCCCAAGTAATTGTGATAACAGGTGTGTACCACCATACCCAGTACATGTATGTATTTATACTGTAGTGGAAGAGTCAAGGGAAAGATAATCCATCCACTAGACAAACAAACAATATACCACATCACTCATATGTAAAAATCTTTTATTGTTGAGGAGGAGAGAAACATATTTTTAATGTAGGACTCTATAGAAACTATGGTTAACCTACAGAACCCACAGTCAGTGCCCATCAGGATTGGGGATAGCAACCAGTTATGAGAAGGGATAGAGAAGGAATCAAAGCACAAGAATGTTACAGGAACAGGAATGGAAGGGAAGCAGGATAACATGCACTTGGGATTAGGACAGGTAACAGTGTCTCTACGATGCAGCCCAGGCTCCAGAAGTAGAGTGCTGAGGAGCAAAACAAAACAAAAAAACCAAATCACATCTTACATCCTGTAAAACTGCCACTGGCTATCTACGGGGTGAGAGTGGAACAGGGAAAGGGAGTCTTAACCCTCAGTTGTCTATGTGGCTTTTGGACTAAAGGTCTGATGATTGCCCCTTGCCTGATTCTGTGTTTATTGTGCTAAATACCTGTGGCATAGTCTTGGGGCCCATGCAGAATGATGTAATAACCAGGCTCATATCATCTGAGCACCCCCACAAACCAAGCACACACACACAGCCCACACGAGGCACCTTGGTACTAATACTGCCCTTGGGCCTATTCTTCTTCTTCCCAGAAACCTCCCAGGGAAACGATGGGCCCCCAGATTAGTTCCTTTTTCAGCAGTTTCACATGAATGAAAGAAGATGACACAATGATTTATGTTGATCCATCTCATCTGATGTCCTTTAAATGCCAGCTCCCAGGGACTTTATGTGCTATTCTGCCTGGCACCTAGTAGGTTGTAAATACTCGGTGAATGGTAAGATTATGAAGGCTGCAATTACAGACCCAGTCCCTCTGAAAGAGCCTGGATTCACCAGAAAACATTAAAAGTAGATTTCCACAATGAACTTGTTTTCGCCATTTGTATAAAATACTATGGCAAAATGGTACTGTAATTATCTTTATGGCCAGTGTATAACACTGGAGGAGAGCATGGCATCCAGATATAGCTGCCCGTATAATTATGTGGCCGTTGGCAGGACTGAAATAACCATCTAATGAGAGCAAAATGATACAGTAAGCACCATGTAATCAGTGAGTTACGGTTATTAGAGCTTTTGTGCCCTCTCACCCACCAGTAGATGGGGGGCCAGAGGAGTTACACACAGGTGGCAGCATCAGCAGCCCGTTCTGTGGGTCTCGGGATGGCCCCTTGGGTCCAGTGAGGGCAGGTTCCAGGGGTACAGGGGGAGAGAAAGGATGCTGGCACTTTTCAATCTTTCTACTTTCCTCCTCACCTGACTTTCCTTGGAAGTTAGTGAACAGAACCCCACCATTTGAGCTGCTATTGCTGCCTGGGGGTAGACCACATGCAGGCAGAAGGTGCTGTGTGTTCTAAGTAGACACTTTCCTGGGGCACTGACTCACTCACAGACAAGTGTCAGCTGGCTCAGGCCTGAGATCCAACCCAGGGACAGACAGACCAGAGCCAGTCAGGAGAAAGCCCACCCCTCCCAGGCCAGCAGAGCTGTAATGGAGCTAACGTACAGCATTGTGTACCACATACCAATCTGAACAGTTCATCTATACTCCAACCTTCACATAGCAACCCTGACAGATACCAACATCACCCTCATCGCCCTCATTTTCCAGGTGAGGCAAATGAGATGCAAAGGGTTATATAATTTAGCCAAGGGGACACAGGTAGAGAATGGCAGATCCAGCATTCAAACTCAAGGCAATCTCCAATTCATTATCTACACAGAAAGACTAAGATATGTTTTCCAATTACTACATTAGACTTCAGAGTCCCTTCAGAGAATGATTGCTCCCCAGTGTCTGACTGAGCCCTGTGCCCATAACCCAGGACCCTGACCAGAAGGTTTAATGTACCCAGGAGGCAAACGTTTCATCTACAAATTAGGTGTAGTATCTGCAATTATCAGATGACCCTCTCTCCATCTTTTGCATAGACACTGGAGAACAGGGTCCCAGGGAAGCCTATCTCTCCCCATGTCCCAGTACTCACTCCTGCCGCCCACTAATCAGTGGGGTTGATGACACAGGGAAAAATGATGAAATAGAGCAGTGGGCACAGGAGTATGCATACCTGCCTCTAAACATCTCTGTGTTTGAAGAACAGTGTGCATGCTGGACACAGGCTATGTGTTTATAAATTTATAAGCACGAATGCTTGTAGCATCCAAGGAAATGTGCAAGTAGCACCACACCAACACATCCACACGTGCACGCACACAAGCATGCGCGCGTACACACACACACACACACACACACACACACACTTTGCTTGCTACTGCTAGCAGTCCTTACCTCATTCTGCACTGGAGGGATACTTGAGAGTGCCAAAGCTGGGGATATTCTCTCGATTCACATCAGTAGGTATGTCTGGGGTGAAATAAATCATGTAGTTAGGAGAGATTTTTCTGAACATCACCATCACCCAGACCCAGTAGGGAATGGCTAGCTGTTGAGGTCAGCATTGGAAAGAGTTGGGGAAATGGAGAAGCAGCAGTCTCCCTGTCCCTTCCTCTGAGCCACAGCAGAAGGGTCCTCCTAAGTCCTGGGAACGCATGACTGTGAATCCAAGCTGACTGGGAAGAAAGGAGCAAGAACATTGACTGCAACAAAGACAGGTCTTATTCTTCCCTCTGGCTACAAATAGGAGACGTTTGATTCCTGTCATGTCCTCATCAAAACCTCAAACCACACTCCCTCACACTCCTACCTGACTGGCTATTCCTCTTCCCCATAAGTCCCACGAAGAAATCATGCATGTCACCTGAAGAAAAAAAGCCATCATTGTCAGCTGAGAGAGTGATGGTTTATCCTCTGTACCCGCCCTTTCCACATGGCAGGAGCCCTCTGTTCCAGGAGGTGCCAGGCTTAGAATCTGTGTGGTCACCTCTTGGTTCCCAGTAAGCAGCCAGTAGAGGCAACTCCTTGTGACCCTCACACCTGCTTCTTTCCTCATTCCCAATGGCTTCTCCACTTAGGAAATGCTGGCTGAGAAATTGTAGCTGTCGTTTGTCTTCACCAGCTGAGATTGGGCCCTGTGGGCCCCATTCCCATGGTGCTTTGGGCAAGCGGACAGCAGAAATAGAGAGGGAGAGGGGATACTCACGTTTCTGGGGAAGGGGTGGTTCCTTAGGATCTGAGAAACCAAGAACAAGTGTGTGAATGAGAAGTGGGCACTGGAAAGTGACACTGGGGATGGGGTCAGATCCCAGTCCTTACCGATCCACTAAGCCCTTCCCTGTCTCCTTCCTACCCACAGGAATCTCCCAGGCCAAACTAATCTTCAGAATCCTGTTACTCAAACCCTCTCACCCGGGCTGCTCCTACCCAGACTAGCCTTGCTCAGCACTTTCAGCAGTCCATCCAGAGAGACTGAGCGGCTGTCGTAGAGTCTCCGCAGCAACGATGGGGGCAGCTGGTAGAGAGCTGGGTCCTTGTAGGGGAGAGGAACAAGGAGGACTGAGGCAGGACACTCCAAACCTCCTTCACTTACCCTTTCCCACACAAAACAGTCTCATCCTGAACCCATGACAGCTGAGCCCAAACTCTGCTACTTTCAGCATTCCCTCTAGTTTTCTAGCAACTTGGGTACAACAGGATACACGCCACCACCTAGGTAATCTCAGGTGCAGAAAGACAATGACAATGATCATGTTTGGAGATTCTCACCTTGGCTCCCTCTCCAGAACCCAGGTATCCTTGTGTCCATACTCAGAGGAGCCTTTACTGGGACACTCCATATACATTAGCCCAGTTACAGAGCCACACATTTATCCTATTTTCTTCCTGCTCCAATTCCACTTATCCTCACAGACACTAGTGGAGAATGTGTGGAAGGGCAATCCCTGACTTTCATTAACAAAGAGGGACAGAGGCAACATCTCATTGTCCAAGGTCCCACAAGTTTGTCTCTGAAGAACCCAGTTATTCTGAATAGCCTGGGGGAACCTCGTAGCTCCAAACACAGAGCTCAAATTTTATTTGGCATTCCCAGAGCATGTTCGAATTTTGGATCTGGTGCAACTGAGCCACCTGCAAGGCTGCTCTCTCTTTCTCTCTCTCTCTCTCTCTCTCTCTCTCTCTCTCTCTCTCTCT